TTCGCTCAGTTGTCCGAAGAAAGCCTCATCTACCTCATCCACCTGATTCGGTGGCCTGTAGCAGACACTAACCACAACATCACTGCTGTTGTTTGCTCCTTTAAACTTAACCCATAGACTCTCAACAGGTTTTTCTCCCTCTTTATACTGGAGTTCAGAGCAATCGTAGTGCTCTCTTACATAAAGTGTAACTCCTCTTCCTTTTCTCCCCTGCCTGTTCTTCCTGAACAGTCTATACCCTTCCATGACAGAGCTCCAGTCATGCGAGTCATCCCACCAAGTCTCTGTTATCCCAATTAAATCATATTTCTTGGACTGGCCAGGGCCTCCAGTTCTTCCTGTTTGTTGCCCAGGCTTCTTGCATTAGTGTACAAACACCTCAGGTAACCAGTTGATCGTCTTATCTTCTCCATTCGAAACAGGGATCCTCCTTTCTTGCTCGTTCCTTTCTGCATTTCTTCCCGGTATCCAACTTTCCCACTCCCCTCAGGGTTTTGGTCACTGTCCCCCGATAAACGTAGTTTAAAGCCCTCCTCACTAGGTTTGCAGGCCTGCCCGCGAAGATGCTCCTTCCTCTCTTCATTAGATGGATCCCATCTCTTCCTAACAATCCTTGTGCCCGGAACAAAGTCCCATGGTCGAAGAAACCAAAGCCCTCTCTGTGACACCACCTGCGCAACCATGCATTTACGTCCTCAATTTGACAATCCCTACCCAGTCCTTTCCCTTCAACAGGGATGATGGACAAGAACACCACTTGCACTCCGAATTCTTGGATCCTTCTTCCCAGCGCTGCATAATCCGCAGTAACCCACTTAAGGTCATTCTTGGCCGTATCGTTAGTTCCCACGTGGAGAAGCAGGAAGGGGTACCAATCCGAAGGTTTGATCAGTTTGGTAAGCCTCTCAGTCACATCCTGAATGCGAGCTCACGGTAAGCAGCACACTTCTCGAGATTCCAGGTCCGGACGACAGAGGGATGGCTCAATCCCTCTTAGGAGGGAGTCCCCGACACCACCACCACCCATCGTTTTCTTGGGGGGTGGTGGCCGTGGAACCCCCATCCCTAGGACTACGCATCCCATGCCTTCCAATAGATCGTGTTCCCTTCCCGTTTCTTCCTTCTGAGGTCCCTTCCGAAGCATTCAGCACTGCAGAGCCTATGGAGAGAGCCTGAAAGTGATTACTTACCTCTATAGCATTGGGGGATTCCCGTGCTGGCCTTTTTCCCCTTCTAGAAGTTACATGCTGCCAGTTCTCTTCCTGGTCACGTACTGCCCTCTCTGGCTCTTCCGCCTGCTGTGCTTGAAGGATCAAACGCTGCCTTCTATCGAGGAAGTCTTCATCCTCTCTGATCGAGCGTAGGGTCGACACTTGGGCCTCCCATCGTTTTTCTCTAATTTTTTCTTCCAAAATGGTGACCGGCTTGCACTTAGTGCAGATGAAATCTGTTCTTTCTTCCAGGAGGAAGACAAAAATGGCACACGTTGTGCAGGTAACAACAGCAGACCTATCACCATCCATCGCTTCTGTCCTGGAGAAGGGATTTAAAAAGAAAGGCAAGAGAACCTCGCCCCCTTCCCTCTCCGCTTCCAAACTCCCTCTCTAAACTCCCTGTTAGCACTGACCTGTTCGCTGTACTGGGTCAGACCAAAGGTCCATCTAGCCCAGTACAAAAGTCCCTCCCCCTACCAAGGTTCAGCCAATCAGCAGAGGCTTCTAGAATTCAAACTTTAATTAGAAGCCAACAGTTTCCACCTGCTAATCACCGCACACACTCCATGAAGGGGAAGGGGAGGGCGAAGGGGAAGTGGAAAAAAAAACCCTCACTCACAAACACGGGAAAAAACAAACAAAAACAAAAAAAGAACACACACCAACCCTCACTCACAAACACAAGCTCAGCACACAACAAGAAAGCTCCAATAACAACACACACTTCCTTCAAGAGTCCTGTATCTGCTTCTCCTTTACCTGGAGACCTCCCTCTCTAAATTCCCTGTTAGCACTCACCTCTTCGCAAGCTCCTTGGTTGCTTGCCCACTGCCTTATAAAGCCCTGGAGTGCCTGAAAGTCCCTCCCCTACCATGGCTCAGCCAATCAGCGGCTGCTTATTTAGGCAACCAACAGCCCAGATGGACCCTCAAGCAGGAGTTTGTATTCTAAATCCAGTTGATTCTAAATTGTGTATCTTTTTCTCTATGCACTCAGTCTCTTACAGTACAAGAGCCCATAATGTATGCAGTCATGCCAAAACTACCACTTTGACTGCATTACAAGATTGTAGCTACTTCCATAGAGTCACACAGGCAATATTGTTATGATTAAATTGTTGCATGGTATACCACATTACCTTAAAACAAGGTAAAACATTTGGGAGTGTTCCATATTTGTATTGTTTTTCCCCCCATTGGGCTGAGAACTACTGAAGGGTTGATAGCCTCTGTGTATTTTACTGTGTGTTTAAGTGTGTGAAAACAATGTTGCTCATTTCCAGCTTCTGGCAAACAAAGATTAGGGACACCATTCTTGCCCAGCCTGGCTAATAATCATTGACCAATCTATCCTCCATTAATTTATCTAGCTCTGTTATAGTCTTGGCTTTGGCCACATCCTTTGACAAAGGATTCCACAGATTCAGCTCAGTGTGTTCTGCAAAGAAATACTTCCTTTTGTTTTTTTAAACGTGCTTATTAATTTCATTCAATGACCCCTAGCTCTTGTGTTATGGGAAGGAGTATATAACGCTTCTTTATTACTTTTTCCATATCAGTCATTTAATATGAAGCACTCTGATTCACCCATCTGATTATTTAGATTTCTAGTGTTTGTATATCAGCACTTTAAAACCTTGTCCCTTTTTTGCTGTCTGCCAATACATGTTGTGGTTGATTGGGACTCTTTTTTCATTTGACTGTTTCTCATCAGGTCTTACTCATATTTTATCATCTTCCATTCTTTCCTCCTTATTGGATCCAAAGAATGTTCATTAATAGATCCTCCCCTAAGAGATGTCTCTGTTCCATGTGCTCCTTCACACCAGTTGACTTCCCTTCAGCCCCTCCTTCCACCGCACCCACTCCCCAGTGCTCAGTTTAAAAAATGCTCTATGATCTTTTTAATTTTAAATGCCAGCAATCTAGTTCCATTTTGATTTTGGTGGAGCCCATCCTTTCTGAATTCTTTGTTCCTATATGTGTGCATGTACATTTGACCATATTAATCATATGATTTGTTTGCCCTAAGATTCCCATGCAGTCCATCCTTGATCAGTGACCTGTCCTCTTCATTATTGTCATTCCCTCTAATTGTTGTCATCTGCAAAATGCAAGTCTGTAATGATTTTATGTTCTCTTCCAGGCCCCTGATACAAATGTTAACAACTGTAAAGACAAAAACTGATCTCTATGGAAACACACTTACTCAGTAATGATCCCTGCTTTTACAATTGCTTTGAAACCTCTCAGCCAGTTTTTAATCCATTAAATGTGTGCCATCTTGATTTTTATATTGTTATAGTTTCTGGAATCAAACTGTTGTATCAAGTGAAATTTCCTGAACTTCAATTTGCCATACAAATCTATTGGTGGTGGTTTTGCTTCAAATGGGAAGTGGGTCATTAGTAGAACATTTCTTTAAAAGAGTTTAAAATAAATAACTGGAATTCTAGTGAGAGAGGCTGTCATCTATGTAAGGAAGACAGAGAAGGGAAATTGCACTGTACAGGCAGTCCCCGGGTTACGTACAAGATAGGGACTCTAGGTTTGTTCTTAAGTTGAATCTGTATGTTAGTCGGAACTGGCGTCCAGATTCAGCCGCTGCTGAAACTGACCCTCAGCGGCTGAATCGAGACGCCTGGGGCAGAGCAGCTGGGGTGCTGCTGGGTTGGTCCAGTAGCGCTGAGAAGCGGCGCTACTGGACCAACCCAGCAGCACCCCAGCTGCTCTGCCCCAGGCGTCTCGATTCAGCCGCTGAGGGTCAGTTTCAGCAGCGGCTGAATCAGGACGCCTGGGACAGAGCAGCTTGGGTGCTGCTGGGTTGGTCCAGTAGCGCTGAGAAGCGGCGCTACTGGACCAACCCAGCAGCACCCCAGCTGCTCTGCCCCAGGCGTCTCGATTCAGCCGCTGAGGGTCAGTTTCAGCAGCGGCTGAATCAGGACGCCTGGGACAGAGCAGCTTGGGTGCTGCTGGGTTGGTCCAGTAGCGCTGAGAAGCGGCGCTACTGGACCAACCCAGCAGCACCCCAGCTGCTCTGCCCCAGGCGTCTCGATTCAGCCGCTGAGGGTCAGTTTCAGCAGCGGCTGAATCAGGACGCCTGGGACAGAGCAGCTTGGGTGCTGCTGGGTTGGTCCAGTAGCGCTGAGAAGCGGCGCTACTGGACCAACCCAGCAGCACCCCAGCTGCTCTGCCCCAGGCGTCTCGATTCAGCCGCTGAGGGTCAGTTTCAGCAGCGGCTGAATCAGGACGCCTGGGACAGAGCAGCTTGGGTGCTGCTGGGTTGGTCCAGTAGCGCTGAGAAGCGGCGCTACTGGACCAACCCAGCAGCACCCCAGCTGCTCTGCCCCAGGCGTCTCGATTCAGCCGCTGAGGGTCAGTTTCAGCAGCGGCTGAATCAGGACGCCTGGGACAGAGCAGCTTGGGTGCTGCTGGGTTGGTCCAGTAGCGCTGAGAAGCGGCGCTACTGGACCAACCCAGCAGCACCCCAGCTGCTCTGCCCCAGGCGTCTCGATTCAGCCGCTGAGGGTCAGTTTCAGCAGCGGCTGAATCTGGACGCCAGTTCCGACTAACATACAGATTCAACTTAAGAACAAACCTAGAGTCCCTATCTTGTACGTAACCCGGGGACTGCCTGTATATCAGAAATATATTCATAAGCAATGATGAATTTATTACAGTTATATAGATCAGAAATAGCAAATGTGCATGTGTTAGAGATGAGTGAACTAGTTTGGGTCTCTAATGGGGCAAAAGGGCCAAGTACACAGAGGAGAGAACAAGTGGAAATGCTTGGCTACCTAAACAGGTGTAGGGACCTAGAAATAATGAACTGGGGATGGAGTGAAAGAATGAGACTGGAGGAGTGAAGAATATCTAAGTATCATGCGGGAAATAATATTAGTGAAGTAAGAGGACACTGATATAAGAAGTTATGATAAGAAACAATTGCTGAAAAGTAAAGAAAAGTGTAGACCAGAAAACAGAAGGAGCATTCTTAGAGTAATTAATCATTAGAATAGACTGCAAATGGTCAAAGCCCTTTCCCTGAAGCTAGATAAAGCAGATAAGACATAAGTTGAGCTTTTTCAGGGCTTAGATGATATTATCTGTAAATCTAAAACAACAGAATACCTGCCCTAACAAATGGTCCTCCTTGCATTTGGAAAGAATGGGTGTGTAATTAATTTCCAATGAAGGCTGTGGTTTAGACAGGGTTGTCTAAACACCTTGGGTGTGTCTACACTATCACCCTAGTTTGAACTAGGGTGGTTAATGTAGTCATTCAAAGTTGCAAATGAAGCCCAGGATTTAAATATACAGGGCTTCATTTGCATCTTGCCGGGCGCCGCCATTTTTAAATCACCATTAGTGCGGACTCCGTGCCCATGGCTACACGCGGCACGGAGTAGGTAGTTCGAATTAGGCTTTCTAATTCGAACTACCGTTACTCCTCATGGAACGAGGTGTAACAGTAGTTCGAGTTAGCCTAATTCGAACTACCTACTCCGTGCCACGTGTAGCCGCGGGCACGGAGTCCGCACTAACGGGGATTTAAAACTGGCGGCGTCCGGCAAGATGCAAATGAAGCCCTGGATATTTAAATCCCGGGCTTCATTTGCAACTTCGAATGACTACATTAACCACCCTAGTTCGAACTAGGGTGGTAGTGTAGACATACCCCTTGTCATCTAACCCTATGCTGATGATAACCTCCATTGTTTCTACTACCAGTGGAGAGATGTAGCAGATGGTCTCAATTTTAGCAGTCTGGATACAGTCATAGAATCTCAGAGCAAATGGGAAACGTAGGCTCGTCTCTTTATGTATGGTGAAATCCTGACTTCAACAATTGTGACTTGGGGAATGGAGAAGGGACAGTGGAGCCTCATATAGGAGAAGGAGGTGAATAGCAAAACCCTCATGATTGTGAGAGGGAGGTAGTGAGAGCCTCCTATTGTTGGGGAAGGAGAAGGAGCTGAAGAAACTGATACTCAGTTACTACCTCCTTTGCTTCAGAAGTATCCTGAAAAATCATAGAATCTTACAATACTAGAACACGAAGGGACCTCGAGAAGCATCACGTCCAGTCCCCTGCCGTCACGTCAGGACCAACCAGCATGTAGGTCAGTGTTTCTTAAAGTTGTCTGCGAAACCATTTTGAGAAAGCTGCTAACTGGACACACCAGTTTTTTTACTTACCTGTACTGTGGCCACGGAGCTCCCATTGGCTCCGATACACTGTTTGTAGCCAAGGGAAGCCCCGGTGGGCTGAGCCGCTGCTTCCTGAGGCTCATCTTGGCTGTAAATGGCAAACCACCTTTGCTGATGTTCAAACCAAATCCAAGCAAGAAAATTTACCTTACATTTTGAAGTATTTTTCTTGGACACTCTTGACTTGGACCACTCTCAGGGATTTTGCTGTTCAAGGTAATTTTCAGAAGCTTTCCTATCTTAAGGTTTTCTTGAGCCATTACCACCATAGTATTCAATCACTTTCCAGGTAAACTGAATATGAATGCTGAGTTTAGTCTTCCCCCTTTTCTGGTTAAAGTGGACTCAAATGCTTAGGTAACTGCTGTCATAAGCAACCATTCATCCTGCTTTTTAAAAAAAGCAATGGTTTAAAGCATTTAGAACCTACTTTTTCAAAAGTGTATAGGCACGTCTGCATGTCCCACAACTTGTGCATCAGAAAGTCCATACTGAAAATCTAACCCTTGGAGATCATCTGTATAGGATACCAACAGTCGGAGATGTGGAATCCTCCACACAGATACAGAAACATCTTATTTTGTGCTGGGGCCTTCTTCACTACAACACTGAATATAAAAGAACAGACACTGTTTTATAGGCATAGGTCTTGAGAATGGGTAAGAGTGGCAGGGCTCTGACAAACCACTTAAATAGGCGCTTTGGTGAATCAGTGCTTGAAGAACAAACTTTTTTTCTTTTGCAATCCTTGCTTGTTTGACAGGCCCAAGCTGAATTACATCACTTCCTAAAAGCAATCGAATACAGTACATCTTCTTAAGAAATTTAAACTCATATACATCGGCAGGAAACAGGAAATGTACATGTTCCTGTAAAACAGGGAGAAACTAAAATTGAGCATCATGCCTAATAACAAAGAATGTGACACAAAGAAACAAAACTTCATGTTGTTTTTTTTCTTGTTTTTCGCTACAGGATCTGCCAGTTATGGTAAGTAATAAAGTCTTTTATGTTCTGAGGTAGAACTATGCAGACATGTTTTATGCCTACAGCTATAGAACTCTTTTAGAGGGTAACACCCTGAAAACCTGATCTCTGTGAAGGAGATTTGTGAAAACTTGCACAGTTTGTTTTAGCTTCGTTTAACTTTGCTACTTTCATCTGTGTGTGGGGGGGAGGGTTGTTTGTTTGTTTTAATATAGATCAGCTTTCAGTTGCAACATTTGTTTCCAGACATCTTTGAAATGTAGGTGTTTATAGATATAGGAGTTTGGTTAACACCCATCATTGATTTATGTTATGATATTCACCATATGGTATATTTTGTCTGTAGAAGTCCTATGTCCTTCATAATGGCATTTAATGGACAAAAATACTGTACTCTGATTATTCAGTTTTCAGTTGACTATTTCAAACAGCCATAACAAACAACTTTTGTTAAACAAATTAATCATTTAAGGATGATCCATACTATTAAAATTTTATGTATTACAGGCTTAATTTTGAACAAAAATTATGAAAATATTATGTACATTGTTTCACTTGTATTTTACACAAGAAATAGAGGCAGTAACTGAGCAATGTTGATAGGTGTTTAAAACAAAACTTACAAATTGTTTTACTTATGTGCTTTTGGGTGTGAAATAAACCACTGTTGAAATGCTTCAGTCTACAGTGGTAGTGCTAGCTGCTCTCAAATTGCTGAATGAAGCAACAGTTCTGCACAAAATGGGAATAAATGGTAGTCCCTCTGTTGTTGCTGACCCACCTTTATTATGATTCTAATGACCATTATGAAAATGGATTTTAAAAAGTGCTACAGCAATGCTGTAAGTCTGGGTTATAAGCTCTGTCTTTACTGCAAACACTATCATAGTTAAGTCCTGTGACTGAAAATAACATGGTTTGGTTTTACCTGTGCAGATGGAATAAAATTGCATTACAACCACTCTAACAACACATGTTCTAACCCTCAGACTAGTTATAACCCAATTTTTTAGAAAAAAAAGTCCTTGTCTACAATTATCAGGGGAATTATATTAGAACAGGAAGTCTCTTTGTAAATTTGAGCTAGTCATATACATTTGGTCTAGTAATCAAGGACCAGAGCTCTCAGGAGTCCTCACCTTTCATGGGATCATTTATAACACAGTGGGCCTTAAAGATGGGGAAAGTACAGTTCGATTTTGCATCGTAGATAGGATATAAATAACATTTCCAACGTTCAAATCTCACAAATTGAATTGAAATTAAAATAAAATTTTGTGCCAAGTACCATACAAGACAAAGTTGTAACAAACTCTGGGGAAAGCTCACACCTCACCACAGCCAGATGTATAAGGTAGATAAAGATTGGACCAAGTGCAAGTATTCCATGTTTCTTTGTACTATATTGAACATTTAGAATGTTACAGAAAAGGCTTCCTCACTGAGCTATGTTTCAAGAACCTTGCTCAGCCACAGAAATAACAATACTCCGCAGTGCTTCAAGCAGAGGGATGTCAAGAATTTAGGAGGTGCTAGATTTGTGTTGTGTCCCTATGCTGTTATTACCTTGAGCCATAATTCAAGAGGACCTCTCAATTCCAGAGCCAAATGTGCTGTAGATATCCTATAAAGTGCTCAAAAGAGCTTTTGGGTGAAGTCACATACATAGCTAGGACCACAGGGGGATTCTTGTTCTTGACCTCTTATCCTCCTCATAATGATGAATTACAAAATGGATCTGAACCTAATCTATTTTGAGACAAAAATGTGTGTTATAGTTTTATACAAAGTGATAAAGCAAGAAATGAGGGTTTACTGAGATTTCTTCCATGTGGCATTGTGTAGCAACTGCTATGTTGCTGCATCATCTCTTTTTCAAAATACATCAAAATGCAACTTTCTGAAAAGTGGGTATGTAAATATGATACCTTCTTACTCAACAGATCAATCTTTGGTGTAATTTAGGCAGATATTCCCATCAGATTCATAAACAAGTTGTTACTGCTATTTACTCCTACATTAGAGAGCTATCTCAGGGTACATCTAGACTATACCTCTCTTTCGACAGAGAGATGTAGATTAGGCACGTTGAAATTGCTAATGAAGCAGGGATTTAAATTTCCCGTGTTTCATTAGCATAAACAAGGCCACCACTTTTTTTCGAAACAGAGCTTTTTGGAAAAAAAACGGCAGTTTAGACATGGATCTGTCGAAAATAAACCCTTTTTCGACAGGTCCTGTATTCCTCAAAAAATGAGGTTTACAGGATCTGTTGAAAAAGGGTTTATTTTCAATAGATCCACGTCTAGACTGCGGTTTGTTTTTTTTAAAAAAAGCTCCGTTTTGAAAAAAGCAGCGGACATGTTTATGCAAATGAAGCGCGGAATATTTAAATACCTGCTTCATTAGCAATTTTGACGTGCCTAATCTACATCTCTCTGTTGACAGAGAGGTGTAGTCTATACACAGCCCCAGTTTTGTTAAACAAAGAGAGTTTGTGTTCATGAAAATACGTGTATTTTATTTGACATCAGAAAGAGTGGTTAGTGGAATGAGGCACAAGCCCCCAGTGGGGCAGACCATGGAGGCTCTTAGTGCTCCTCAGGGTGGAAGCTCTCCCTCAGGGCCTCCTGGCTGGATACTGACAGCCCTCCCGATGGACCTCCTGGATGGCAGCCTGCAGAAAGCGCAGCCAGGCTCCCAGCAACGTGTCCAAGAAAAGCACCAGAGTGCCCAGGGGCAGCTTTGGCTCCATGTTGCAGAGTGCTGTGGTGCCCTGAGTGAGGGCAACCAGAGCACACAGAGACAAAATGCTTTGCTGTCCCTCAGCGAGGTAGGCAAGCACTCAGGGAAACCTGAGAACTGGCTGTCCAGGGGGGTCCCTTTAAGCACAGGTCTCAGATACCTTGTGTGGCTGCTGCCTGAGGCTAATTCCTGACCTGATGCCCTGCCAGAACCGGTTTTGAAATAGCAAAGTGCTATTTTGAAATGCAGTTTGTGTCTAGTCACATTATTTCGAAATAAGATATTTCAAAATACTGCCGTAGTGTAGACATACCCAAATATATTTCACACCCATCTGGACAAGACTTTTTGTAAGCATGCATTTTCTAGAGGATCCTGTTCTGCTGATTTACCCCTTCATATATGAGGCTATTTTACCACTCTATTAATCAAGCTGGTCTTAAGTTGGTTTACGAATTCCTATGTTTCATATTTGAAGCACGTTCCAACATGTTATCTGGGCAAGACTTGCCAATTTTAAGGATCAACAGTTAAATATAATCAGCTAAAGAGAGTAGAAATGATATATATAAATAACATAGATAAAAGTTATTAGGTAGGAAGAAACAGTTGGGCAACTGTGTGTGTTAATAATAAGTCCAATGGAAAACAGATCCTGCCATACATATTTTACTCCATAAATTAGCAAACGCAGATTGCCTGCATGTTTCTTTCAGTATATATAGAATTTTAACTCTTTATTTTTAGCCCTGAATTGAATTTTCATTCATGTAGAGTATTTGCATTTTATAGCAAAGTTAGGAGAAACCAAAATTCCATTTAAAAAGAACTCCTGATTATTCCACCAATTGAAATCTTTTATTTTTTTCCTTTTATTTTGTGCTGAGATACAAAGCTGTAAATTTAAAATGTTTTTATAAGAGCAACGTAGGTCTGTTCTGGTAATTTTTTATAATAGAATATATTTGTATTCTTTAGAAAGAGGAAGCAGATTGTCTGGTTTTTGCTTTGTCCTCCCCTTCAAATTAAAAAGAGAAGTCTTGTTTACCTCTTACTTCATCAAGAAGGCAAACCACTCAGAGCAGGAAATGCAGCAAGCATTATGTTCAAACATGGCAACAAAATATTATTGTTTTTGTTGTGTAAATAAATGTGGCCCAGTTTATATGGACAATGATGATAAAGTATAAAGCAAGATTCACCAGTTTTTCAACAGCTGCTTTAAAGACACCAAGCAAGACTTCATGCCATAGTTTACGTGTCTGCAAATGATGCCGTTCGTCCTTTTCAAAATGTGAATGAAGAACTTAATTCACTTGCCAGCAAAACCAATAGTGAAAAGCCCTGTTGTGAAATTTAAAGAAATTTTCTAGTGGTTGATACATCTTACTCAATTATAAAGGGCCCAAAACTGATATACTCTTACTCATGCTGTGCAATATAGGCAGTCCCCGGGTTACGTACAAGATAGGGACTGTAGGTTTGTTCTTAAGTTGAATCTGTATGTAAGTCGGAACTGGCATCCAGATTCAGCCGCTGCTGAAACTGATCAGTTACAACAGCGGCTGAATCTGGACACCAGTTCTAACTTACATACAGATTCAACTTAAGAACAAACCTACAGTCCCTATCTTGTACGTAACCCGGGACTGCCTGTATAGTATTAATTTCCCCTCTTTTCAAGTAGGGAAACCAGTCTCTGGGAAATTACATGACTTGCCCAAGGTCTTATGGAAACCTTGTAGCAAAGCTAGGATTTGAACCCACATGGCTTGAGTCCTAGATCACTGCCTCACCTATAAGATTATATTTCATCTTCTATAGGTAGGGCAATCCAGTCATATTGTTTTGTGTTTTGTGGAAAGGAAAAATATTTTTTAACTCTAAGCAGAATCAACATAGCACACGGACACGGACACACCTTGTAGTTGCATTTCAGAATGGTGTAGGCCAACATTAAGGTCAGTTTAAAATCGTATGTGTTCCGATGTCTGGTTTGCAAAAATTGCCAGCAGACCAGACAGAGAACATCACAACAGCTAATGGAAATTTCCTCTTCAGTCTAAATGGTGCAGTTGTCTAATTTGTTTAGTTAAACTACATTAGGCACACCGAAAGTTTTATTATCATAGTCAAAAGCAGGAAACAGGGAGCAGACATGCTGTATTTTTAAAATTAAAGCAATTTTAAAAAACAAACTCATTTTCTTATTGACTATCTTACTTGTTAAATTAGAGGCTCATTAGTTTTAATAATAG